TCTCTCTCTCTCTCTCTCTCTCTCTCTCTCTCTCTCTCTCTCTCTCTCTCTCTCTCTCTCTCCTTCCCTCTTCTTTTTGTGATACAGGGTCTCACTATGTAGTCCAAGCCCATGCTTGACCTCAAAGTGATCCTCCTGCCTCAGCCTCCCCTGTGCTGGGACTGCAGGCATGCACCGCCATGCCCAGCTCACAGTAGCACTTCGGTGTGCGGCAACTTTCCCTAATTCATGCACAGCCAAGGGTGCGCTACTCCTAATGCTGAAGACTGCACCCACAGCCTAGGAGAGGCCAAGTCAAAGGCACATCTTGCTGGCATGTTCCACCCTATTTGCTTAGGATTTTCATGGATGGAAATATACTCCCTGCCTTGGCTTTGATGGATAAGATACAGCCACAGAGGGACTTTTAAGGTCACCTCACTCATTCCCATCATTTTTCACACAAGAAAATTTGGTCTAAAGATGGGGAAAGTAGCTGTGCCGGTGCACTATGGAGCCCAGGCTGGCCTCACACTGGCAGTGATCCTCCTGCCTCAGCCTCCCGAGTGCTGGGTTGCAGGTATGTATCACCATGCCTGGCTACCTCAGGTCTTCGGGCTTTTTCTGAAATTCTCTGTCCATTTTCATAGAACTAGATATGAGCGAATAGAGATAGTTTTTGTGGCGCTCACCAATGTACATTTTACTTATATTAATTATACAATTATAACTTTGATTATAGGCTCACACATATAAGCAAAATTAAAGTGCATGGCTGAGCCTTGCTAGTTGAAAAAAAGATTTCCTGAAACACCAGCTGTCAGTGACCTTAGAATTTTATCGCATGCGTGAATGAGCTGGCTGGAAAGGCAGATTTTGAGCTGGGTGTGATGGTACACACCTGTAATCCCAGAACTCAGAGGCTGATGCAGGAGGATCACCTAAGTTCAAATCCTGGGCTATTTAGTGAGTTCAAGGCCAGCCTGAACTACACAGTGAGGCCTAGTCTCAGAAAACAAACAAAATATGGAACCAGTGTGGTGGCACACACTTGCAGTGCCATCACTCTGGGAGACTGAGGCAGGAGGATCTCAGTTCAAGCCCAGCCTGGGTAGGAGCCTATCTCAAAATAAAAAATAAATGGGCCAGGGATTTAGCTCAGTGGTTTCAGTGCCTGCCTCAAAAGCACAAGGTTCCGAGTTTGATCCCTGGTACCAAAAAAATAAAATAAAATAAAAAATGATGGGATATTTCTCAATGTGAAGGTCTTGGGTTTAATCCCCAGTACTGAAAAGAAAAGAAAGAGCAGCACATGGCAACACATTCCTGTAATTCCAGCACTCTGGAGGCTGAGGCAGACAGATCACTGCAGGTTCGAGGCCAGCTTGGACTACATAGTGAGACTCTGTCTCAAGAAAGTCCAACCCCCTCAAGAAAAAGAGAAAAGAAAAGAAAAAACTCTAGTCTTTTCAGGATGAGTGAGGTTGGCAAGGTGGAGGGTATGTGTACGCACGCATGTGAGTGTGTGTGCGTGTGTGTGTGTGCATGCGCGTGCATGTGTATGCAAAATATACAGCATGGACCACCTCAGGGTGGCTGTCTGTTGAGTTGGCTGCTGGGAGCAGAGACAGTAGTGAGGAGGGAGAATGCTGAGGGCTGAGGGTGGGTGGAGCAGAACAGCCTGGGCCACGTGGCTGAGCTGGGTGGTGACCCTGGAGGGCTCTGGGCAGAGGCCCACAGACAGGCTAGGGAGGAGGCCAAGAGGGGAAGCAGAGGGTCTGTGCCTGCTTCTGAGGTTAGTGAGGCGCAGAAGGCAGGAGCCAGGGCTCCCAGGACCCGCATGGCTGCGGCCCCTAAGGGGAGCATGGTTAGAGCCAGCTGTGGTGGTGCACACTTGTAATCCCAGTCCCAGGAGGCTGAGGCAGGAGGATCACCTTGAGTTCAAGGCCAGCCTGGGCTACAAGCCCCAAACCAAACCAAAGCATGCTTAGAGAGGAGGGCTTATCCTCTTCAGTTTGCCGATGAGAGAGAAGCAGGTGTCCCTGGGCTCTGAGGAAAGGGGCACGTGGGTGGGGACCAGGGAGACAGTGCTGGGCTTGCAGCACCCCAGGCCTGATGGTGGCCTCGTGTGGGGTCATCTCTGCCTCCCCTCCTTCGCACATGCCTGATCCCAGGTCACCTCAGCTCCCGAGGCTTGGAGCCGCCTCCTCCCGTGATGAAGACAGCAGCACCCGCTCCTCCCTGAGAAAGATGGCCCTGGCTCCTGGCTGCCCTGACCTTAGATCTGGGGAGGGCTGGCAGCTGCTGGGTCTACACTCGCTTTTTAATTTTTTCTTCTCAGTTTTGCAGGTCTGGATGGAAATAATTCCAGGCTCTGGAGCTCCAGCGCGCCCCCACCCAGCCTGGGCCTTCCTGCCTCCCCAGTCACAGGGACTCTTGGTTATAGGACTTCAGAAGTCTCGGACCGAGAGCCCCAACTCGGTGCTGTAGGTGCCGGCTGACTGACACCCAAAGACAGGAGGATGGCAAAGCTGAGCCCGGGGGAGGAAGGAGCCCGCCTACACCACTGGCAGGAACAGAGACTGGTGCAACCACGGTGGGAATCAGTGCAGATTCCTCAAAAAACTGATATTCTATTTCACCCAGATATTCTTCTTCTAGCTATCTTCTAGAAGGAGTTAAAGACATCATATTACAGCAATCCATGCACACCCATGTTTATAGCAGCATAACTCATAATAGCTACTTCTTGGAGGAGGCCCATACATTATTAACAGATGAATGGATAAAGAAAATGTGGCATTTACACACAATGGAGTACTACTTAGTCATAAAGAAGGATTACTTTGTAGAAAAATGGATGCACCTTGATACCATAATGCTCAGTGAAAGCAGATGCGCAGGCTTAAATATTTCATGGTTTCTCTCACATGAGAAACCCAAAGTATACATAAATTAAACAGCAAAATAAAAGATAAATAATAGGAAGTAGGGAGATAGATCTTTTACAAAAGGGAAGGGGACCAAGCAGGGCATGGTGGTGCACTCAGGAGGCTGAGGCAGAAGAATCTCACTGTGAGTCTAAGGCCAGTTTAGGCTACATAGCGAGACCTTGTCTCGAAAAATAAAACAAAAAGATGTGTTATGTACATGTACCCACTCCATGCCAGAAGTAATCATTAAGTACTGCAACCATGTATTGAAAAAAAAAAAAAAAGAAAAGAGAAAGGGTAAAAGCATAGGCAGCGCAAGAGCTGCATCTGATCTCCCGGGTCACCTGGCGATGTTCCCTAGGAACTCCTGGCGCCGCCCTCCTGCAGCCCCCTCTACAGGGGTCTCGGGCCACAGACCCCAGGGAGACGCCTTCCTTTTGGGTTTGGGGACTGACCCGAACACGGGGCTCAAGGTGGTAACCAGCCCAAGTCCCACAAAGCCCTAAGGGCGAAGGACAGACGGCGCTTCTCAGATCCGGCCAGAGACAGGGCCTCGCCTCCTCCAGCGAGCAGAAAACCACGCAGGCTGCGGATCTCAGATGCTGCCTGAAGCTTTCGGTCGTCGGCAGCGTTTTCCCCGGTTCCCAATCCTATAGCACCGAGCACGTTGAGCAATGGGGGGAAAAATCACATGCAAACAAGAGTCTAAGTACTGATAAGAATTCTGAGGGTAAACACGAATTCCACCCAAAGGCTAAATCACCAGGGTAAGACCCAGTCTAAACACACACCCGGGCTTAAAGAGGGTTTCGTGCGCTCAGGTTACAGTGGCGCAGGACGATTTCTCCTTTATGCTTGTCAAGTGAAATTAATTAGACATCGCCCATCCATCACTCCTGCCAGAGTTTCCGGGATTGGCCCGCTGGCCGGCTGGGGGTGGAGACCTAATGGTTGGCGCCCACCCTGAAAGTGCCGGGCTTTTCTAGAAAGAGACAACTATGGTTTTCGCTGATAACTTGTAAATGTTTCCCTTTCAAAGTTTGACATTTGGTGCGTGCTCCAGACGACGGCGACCGACAAATATTTGACATTGCGGAGTGTCTCAGACTGCTTGGCGGGGGAGATTCTTCCCAGTTTCGGATACTGAATTTGTTTTCATAGAGTAAGTAATGCAAATAACTCAAGGATAATTATATTTAAAGGTTACAAAAATAATTAAAAGATAAAGCTCTTTTCCTCATCCCCCCATTAAGTCATCACTAGAATTTTAGTGCATTTCTTTCTATGTATTTTTCTTTTGTTTTCTCTTTTCTCCCCCTTTATCATAAAAGCAATGTCCCAGCACTCAGGAGGCTGAGGCAGGAGGATCACCACAAGTTCCAGGCCAGCTTGGGCTTCATAGTGAGTTTGAGGCCAGCCTGAACTACATAGTCAGACCCTGTTTCAAAAAACAAAGAAAACAGACTGTATACATAATACTGACCATTATCTTATTGATCTAGACATAAATAACATTTCCCATCTTCTGACAAGAACATATTTTGTTTTACATCTAATCATAACACAAAGCTGCTTTTCACTTGTCTTTTAAAAAGTAAGTATATAACTATATCACTTTACATTTACTTATTTATTTTTGAGATCGGTTCTTGCTATGCCCTCCAGCCAGGCCTTGAACTCACTGTTTGGCTCAGGGCAGCCTCGAACTCACAGCAATCCTCCTGCCTCAGCCTCCCAAGTGCTGGGATTACAGGTGTGCACCACCACGTCCACTTTCTTGGTCCTCTTCTCATTTGCAGAATGTCTATCTCCCCTGTTTCCTGTAATCTCTTATTTAATTTTTCTCCTTAATTTGTTTGGGTTTCTGGGCCCCTTGTTAGCTCACTGTGCCCGAAGACTGCAAGGCAGGAGCTCCCACTTCCTCTCGGGCTGCCGGCTTCAGAGCTGAGGAACAATCTCGAAGTCACCCCACCGCCCTCGTTTCCAGCGGGGCTACATAGCGATCGATACCCTGTCTCAAAACAAAAACCCCAAAACTAAACAACAAATAATAAAGAAATAAAGTATACCTCAATAAAGTGTTTTCAAAAAAAAAACCAAACCCAAACAGACAAAAACCATTTTTTTCTATTGATTCAGGTCTTTTACTCTTCAGTGTCCTGTCTAAAACTAAAGACCTAGCTGGGCATGGTGGCACACATCTGTAATTCCAGCACTCTGGGAGGCTGAGATAGGAGGATTTTGAGTTTGAGGCCCGTTTGGGCAACTCAATGATTTAGCAAGGTCTGCCAAAATTAAAAATGAAAAATAGGGCTGGGTTGGGCCGGGGATTTAGCTCTGGTTCTGGCGCCTGCCTCACAAGCGCAAGGTCCAGAGTTCAATCCCCGGTACCCCCCCCAAAAAAAGAAAAGAAAAATAGGGCTGGGGATTTAGCTCAGTGGTTTCATCACCTGCTGCGCAGGCGCAAGGACCTGAGTTTGATCTCCAGTACCAAAAAAAAGAAAGAAAAAGAAAAATGACTGGGCTGGGGCGGGGGTGGCTCAGTGTAAAGGCCCTAAGTTCAATTTCCAGTATTGAAAAGAAAAAAAAAAGAATAAATAAATTCCTAAATAAGTAAACAACTGAAGGAAAATTATGCTATGTTGATGTGGGATTTGATTATGCAGCAGGCTCTGGATGCAGCTGAGTTGTAGAGCACTCGGTTAGCAGACTGGAGGCCCTGGGCTCCAGCCTCAGTCTGGGTTGGGATAGGAAGGGGGAAAAAGGAAAAAAGAAAGAAAAGAACAAGAGTGTGTGTGTACTAGAATACTATATGATATTAAAAGTGAAAGGTATAGAACTCAGTGCGAAAAAGATGCAGACCACATATGCTTCTGTTTACGTGTGGCAGAATCTTATCTGTCTCTTATCTTGCAGTGTAAAAAGGCTGGGTGTGGTGGCTCATGCCTATAATCCCAGCGTTCAGGCAGCTGAAGCAGGAGGAGGCCAGCCAGGTCTCCGTGGTGAGTTCAAGGCCAGCCTGAACTACATAAAGACCCTGTCTCCAAAAAAAAGTGATATATATTCCAAGCTTTCAAAGGCCACTGATGCAGTTTAGGTCTTACACTGATTTGGGGAATATGCATTACATTTAATGAAAACATATCACATGCACGATACACACATCCGTGTGCTAGGGATGAAAGCCAGGCTCTCTGTAAGCTAAAAGTTCCACCGAGCTGCACCCTCAGCCGGAGGGGAGAGCATGTTGTGAAGCAGAGATTTCTAGGTCCTTGGGAAAGTTAACGTGAAAGGGAATGTAAATTTCTGGTGAGGAAGTGTGTCTTACTTCCCTTCTGCCGGTTTAGGCTTCCTTGCGCATGTGCAGCTCTCCTCAGGCAGGAAGGTCCTTTCGGTGAATGCGAGAGTTCCCCTGCCTTGAGTTTCCGAATCCTTGAGTCCCGCTGCCTTGAAGCCTTTCACAGACCATTGGCCCAAGCCTGTGGCTCCGGCCAGCTCAGAGTTCATTTCTTACCAGTTTCCATTTCTTACCAGTTTATGGGATCTGGTTACAGTTAACTTCCCAGTTGTTTATTTATTTATTTATTTAGAGACAGGGTCTCACTATATAGTCCAAGCTGGCCTTAAACTCACCATGTAGCCCAGGCTGGCCTCAAACTTGAGGTGATCGTCCTGCCTCAGCCTCCTGAGTACTGGGATTACAGGTGTGCAGTGCCACGCCCTGCTGATTTCCCAGTTTTACTTTGCCTTGGACCCTGTGCTCCTGAGAATGTGACATTGAGCTCAATATCTGCAAATAAGCAAGGGATCCTCCTTCCTCCAAAATAGAGCCCATCATTGCTTTCAGAAAATTATCCATATTTTGCTGAGTGATGGAAGCTCTGCCAGCCATAGCAAGGGAAAACCTAGCTCGATCTCCGGCCTTTAGAACAAGTTCAAGTCCCACTTTTCTCAGAAGGGTGACCTAGGGTAAAACACTTTCCCAAAAAGGAGGAACAAGAATAATACCTCCCTTGGCACTTGTCACTGCCCCGGGCAGGCTAGGTGCTGGGTGTTGTCATTACCAGCTATCTGACACCTCCAGCTAATTTTTTTTTAGCAAAACATTTATTAGTACCTTCTAGATATACATAAGCATAACACTCCTCATAGGGCATCTGTACCCGTGCATGACATATCTTGCCCTGTGCTGTCTGTCTCCACCCAAGTCCTCTGAGTCCCTCCCTCTCCTGTGGGACTGGAAGCATGGGGGAGGCAAGCATGCTCCGTACCCAACCAAGGAAACTTCAGCTCCTTAAAAGTTAAACTGGAATTAAAGAAAGACTTTAAAAACCCTGCTAAAGATTTTAAATTTATGGTACAGAAAATGAGCTTTGAGGAGTAATGATACATATTATTTTATTTTTGGTGTTTTGAGACAGGGTCTCACTATGTAGTCCAGTGTGGTCTCAACTCAGGATGATTCCTCCCACCTCAGGCTCCCAAGTGCTGGGATTTCAGACATACACCTCCACACCTGGCTGATATATTTTACACTTGATCTTAGCCAAAAGGCTGAGAAGCAATGGCTGATATA